CCGACGCAATATGGCGGCGGTACGCCAGTACAATATAGTGTCAATTGATGACGTCATTTGCATTTCCCAGTGTACTGAGTTGTATTTCGGAACATACCCCATGTCTCCCATCTTGTCGTATGTGTTCTCCATAATATAGGTACCTAGCCTACTTAATTTGATAAATACCTAAAGATATTTTTATTAAATTACCATGTGTGAGCTGGGGGAAATCATTTAAGTTCATCATTTTGCACATGTATTCTTCAAGAAAAGAAACCGTCAGAATCCTTTATACGTAGACAGTCGTTAAAGATCAGAACATTATTACAGCTCACAAAAAGAACAGAAAATATTCAATACCACCGCAAGCTCAGACCCAAACAAACGTAAAAAATGATTTGATTGACGTTTGAGTTTTCGAAATAACGTTGATATTTCCGCTTTGTGGCCTGTATAAAACATTGATAATCGATTGTGAAATCGATTTATTAATCTATTCAGTCAATTTATTTTTACGACTTTTTTGAAACGTTGAAGTGTCACGAGAAAACCATTATTTAAATAATAAGTTTCTTAAACTTACATAAAGAAGAAAATAATCAGTCACTTTTTATTGTTTTATTTTTATTTTTTTTTTATTAAAATCGATTAACTAACCTATTCCATCTGGCAGCATTGTTTAAAAGTGAAAATAACGGTAGTCAGTATTATTTTATTAAACATTTAATTTCTTTTGCCATGGTAAAACTGCTTAATATTTCATTATTAACTACAAAAAAACTGAAAAAAGCATATTGATAAATATTTCTCTTGTGTAACGTTAGGCCCAAATTCGCCCGTCTCCTTTAATACAAAATTTATGTTTTGGCAATTAAAACTCAGGGTCTTGATCAAACAATTCCTAAAATTGTTAACTAAACTAACTATTCGGAACTAAACTATTCGAAATTACCCTATAGGGGTAATTCAAAAACAAGCAATTTATCTTCAGTTATAAGTTCTCACATGCATAATAACACGTTAAAACTGACAATCTACCCAAAAACAAAAACACTAATAGCTTTACTCACCAAAATCCAGAAATACAGACACAGGGGTAATTCTGAAAGCCGAAAAAACGCGCGAAATCTGCTAAATACCACAATGGCGACAATGGCCACGTATGCTCCGCAGTAGCGCTCTGAGGTAGACATGTGTCGATCATGCATGATTCGTTCGTTTGAGCTGGTACACTTAAAAGTATTGATGGTTCATTCATTTGTTTTTGAATGTACCAGTACAACCAATCACAAACAATTGACGGTACCTTTTTAACCCGCGATTTGTTTGAATTGTGAATGAGCCGCAAACCGACCGAATCCCGAATGATCTGTATAAACAGGCGAATCGAATTAACAATGCAGACTGCAGAGCATAGAGTAGAGTAATATATACACAGAACACCATTACTCCTAATGGAGAATATATACGGAAACTGCAGAGTATCAGGAGTATTTATTATTTTAGGGGTTTTTTTATTATAATATTGTTACCTAAATTAATAATCATTTTACATTTAAATCTATGAGTTAAAAATATCGTTTTGTAGAGTTTACTAAAAATAACACTTCAAAAGATTTTATGATAAATGACACTTATTTAATGATAATTTTCAACCATCTTATATAAGTTAGGTAAAAGTTTAATTTAATAGCAAATAAATGTTTCAATCCCTATTTTTAGACATGTAAAGTAAGATGAAATTGTGTTTCAGACTCACAGAGAGTTAGGAATGAAATTTAACATTAAGCATATTTATTAAATATTTAAAATATATGATAACTTGAGGTTTTTGTGTTTATGCCATCTAGCGTCGATTGTACTTACCACCTTGAAAGTTAATAAGTTTAATTCGATAAAATGACTTTATTACCTACATCATGTAGTAGATGGCGCTATTACAAATATTAAATTTTCGATTCCCAATAGATCTCACACTCACAGAGTACTGGAGCCTGAAATGATCCATTTGAATGATCGATCCGAATGTACCAGTACGCGTGACGAAATGTACTAGAATGATTCGGTCGCTAGAAATGAGTGATTTACACATGTCTACTCTGAGGGAATTAAAGCGGGGAAGGGGAATAAGATGGCGTCTGAGTAAATGTTGCCGGATTACAAACCCATGTCTCGTTTAGTAGTAATTTGTGATTTTCGGAATCGGCCTATTTTCGTATTTACCCCGCTCCACCTTAAGTACAAATCATCGATATAACAATCTAATAGGTTCCGGTATGTTCTACATATGGTCTCGTGTAACTTATGAATTTGTGGGTGTTCAGACTGCATAGATTTATTAACATTGGTAACTATTTCCAAAGAGAATTCTATAAATTCTAAATACAATTTATTGTAGGGGTATTTCAACATACTATGCGAAATTGTATCTGCTGGTTTCAGTCTATCAGAAAAGGCAGCTTCTGTAAAAATAGTATTAGGGCTTCATATTAAAAGCCACCTAGTTTGGCTTTGATGTAATAATTTATGGGGCTTTAAATCGACATATTCTTGAAATTCTTTTAAAGTGCGTGTCTCACAATAAATCTTCCGGTACCCGGGGCAGTTCTCTGTTTCCACATGCGTGGAACGAATGACATATACATTTTAGTACGTACAAATGTTGGATATCCGATTTAAATCTAGTGAGGAGAGAATTCACACTACCCATCATTGTGTTAGCCTCATCGGCAGCATATCCTTCCATACTGTCATTATATGGAATTTCATTGTCATTAAAAAAACTTTTAATACGCTTTTGGCCGTGGCTTCGTGTAGAGGGATTAAACCTAAAAAGACATCAGTAACAGCTCCTAGCTGTACTTTCATCCAGTAGAAGATAAAATTTATTTAATTTTAAATGTTGAATGATTTGGTCCTTAGCATATGCGCCTGTAACTGATTTAATTATTGCAGTAGTTTTGGTTCTTCCACATGTAATTTTTTTTGCAATCTCCAAATTAGGGCACATTCTTTCAATTAATTTCGGAAGGTGTTAAAAATATTCAGAGCTGTATTGTGCTCGGCCACAAAAGCTGATAAGAGAATTTCGCTTTCTTTCACACTTTCCGTGTGTTCTTTTTTATACACAAAAGATGACTCGGAACGTTGTGAGGTGCTAGGAGACTTAGAAGAGGCACTCTGATGTTGTGCCGTTTTGCGATGTTTTTGAATATCGTTTTTACCTCCTGTGGTAATCGCAAGATCGGTCGAACATAGTTTACAGTAAGCAAGGTAGTCACCCTTAGTACTGCGTGCCAGCCAAATCTTAAATCCAACTTCTTCTAACAAACTAATATTAAAACGTTGCATAATACGTTGCTTTTTAGTTGACATGATTGATGCACACTACACTGCTCACTATATTCAAACTTGAATAAAAATATTAAAAAGGAAACAACATGAAAAGACGTTATGACAAATGAAACTAATCAATTAAAATGAACGAAACAAAGCAAAACTCTTCTATCGCGTTTGAGCAGAGATGAAATGGACAATGAAAATCATTCAGTACTAGAACAAGGAGATTTGGGAATTCCCCGTTCACTATTTCAACTAAATTGATTGTTGCCTTATGTACGACTGAAATTTCCCAATATACAAAGCAAAAACGACTGAAATTTCCCAATATAGAACGCAAAATTTTTGTTTGTTTATATAAAATGCTTAACTAAACTACTGTATTTGTTAAATACAAAAACTTTTCATTACTTTTATTTTATAACAGAATTTCGTCCGTATGTGAATGTTATCCGTATGCGAGGTTGAAAATCTGTATAAATACGGATAAATCAGTATACGTAGTTGGCAACACTGGTTGTTATATACGCGAATGCGGGGGGAAACACACCAAGTACAAAGACACTGAACGCCCTCTCTCGATAGATACGAAAACTACACCGTGCCCTTTTACCACTGTATAAATTATACACTTTAAGCACTTAGGCCGTAAAAATTCGATTTCGCATATTTGGTAATGTGCCAATATATTACTGGGTGAGAGTCATGTACATACAAAAATTCTGTAGTACTACTGCCTGTTTGTAATAACGAGATATTATATAATCATGTTTTTTTTACGGAAGAGGGGGCAAACGAGCATGCGGCTCACCTGATGTTAAGTGACTACCGCCGCCCATGATCAACCGCAACACCAGGGGAATTGCAGGTGCGTTGCCGGCCCTTTAGAAAGGAGTAAGCTCTTTTCTTGAAGGTCCCTAGGTCGTATCGGTCAGGAAAAATCGCCGGTGGTAAACTATTCCACACAGAGGTCGTATGCGGAAGAAAACTTGTGAAACGTACAGTTGTGGACCGCCAAGCATCCAGATGGTGTGAATGGTATCGGGGCGTTTGCCGCGTTGTGCATTCACGAAATTTGGCGGCTGGGATTAATCCGAACAATTCCTCAGAGCACTCCCCGTGGTATATGCGAAAGAAAATGCAAAGAGATGCAATATCTCTTACTAGCGCCAGTGAATCGAGCCGATCATGTAAAAATAATTTAAAATTATATAATATATGTAATATTAATTAATATAATATTAATATTTTGTATACCACATATTGTATCCAATTAAAAGGTTCGCTACACTCACCATACGAAACACATAGAGCTGCTATTTTACGCTGGTATTCCGTGAGAGCATGTTCCTGATCCGGTGGAGCCGATCCATTCATGTTACAATCATAATATAGCTGCAGCAAGGCTCTACCACGTTGTAAAACGCGTACTCCACTTAAGGTAGCAGATCACCTCAGAGTTGTGTTAAAGCTAAATAAAAATGTACTGGTATATGCGTATTTTTTTCTGATTACGTATATGTATGTCGTTTTCCTTATTAGGGCAGAATTTCATCCGCCACAAACTACGCTTAAAAATAGGTTCAAATACATAATTATAAATATGCTTGCAAGATTCGTCACTAGGCTTTTTAGAATTTTATATAAAATTAATTACTTAAGTACATTTTTTTTTTCAGCCACCGGTAATCCCTACGACAAGTTACTGAAGGACATAGAAATCAATGGCAAAACATACAAGTACTATGATCTGAGTGCATTAGGAAGTAAATATGGTAAGTTTTTTAAATTAATTAATTAATTAATTTTTATTTTATTCACTTTTTTGTTAACACTTTAACAGGATAAAAAAGGGCTAATGCCTACCGGGATTCTCTGCCGGAAAACCTGTGGATTGATAAGATTTTCTGGCAATTACATGTGGGACGGAACGTAAAGGAATGAAGTGACAGAATGAATGTGTGATAAAGATAGCAAGATAACAGTATGAAAGTGAGTGAAAGAGCAAGTAGTAAAGATGAGTGAACAAATAGCGAGCGACTGAATGAGAAATAAGAATGAGGGGAAGATAGATTTTAAAAAACTAGCACTAGCGGACGGGAAGCCATTGTAATAGCCGATATAGCTGTGAAGAGAAAGGAATTAAAATTTCTAGTCAAACACCAAGCTGTTTTATTCTAACAAAATCTAACATACATATAATATATTTACTTTGTATATTATGTATGTAATTGCACAGAATACCAGAGTCAAATGGCAGCTTAACGCTCCCGTGTTTCGTTTGGTGAGTGTTGAGAACCGGAGACTTTTTACTGGAAACGAGGCATTCCACCTGAGTCCTCACGGGTGACAACGCATCTGCATTTTGTTTCGTTATCGAGAATATCTGTAGATGTCTATGGTCACAGCAACCACTTACCTTTAGGTGGACTTTGAGTTCGTCACCCTTATTCTTCGAAAAAATATAGCTGGTAAGGTCTACTCCTGAACATAGAGCTAGCCCCATAGATTGCTTCATAGAGGGAATTTTGCCATAGTTGCCATTTGTTATCGGGAAGATGCTGCTGCCCATCATCTGTTTCAGTTTCTGTCGCCTCTTACGACACCCTCGGGACGATATTTATTTATTTATTTATATTTCCTACTAACATCTACATTACAGGGAAAACCTAAATCGATAAATGTAGCGTCTCAATTCAAAAAACGGCCAAGAGCGTGTAGGGTTCCGTAGTTTCCCGTCCGTCACAATATGTGTTCCCACTTATGAGTTTAAAGGTATCCATTATGTTCGCGCTTCTGCAACTGCTCCCGGTAGTGGGTACTGTTGTTTCCATCCAAGTTCAAAATGATTTTCCTTAAAAGTCCTTATAAAGTTCTACTTTTCAGATTTTTTTCATATTTTTTAAACTTATGGTTCAAAAGTCAGAAAGGGGGGGGGGACACACTGTTTTTTACTTTTGGAGCGATTATTTCCGAAATTATTGACATTATCAAAAAATGATTTTAGTAAACCCCTATTCATTTTTAAATACTTTCCAACAATATATCACACGTTAGGGTTGAAAATAAAAAAAGTCACTTCCTACTTTACAAATTTGGGGGGGCTACCCTAATAAAACATTTTTTTCTAATTTTTATTTTACCACTTTGTCGGCGTACCAAATTTTAGCTTTCTAGTGCTAACGGTCACAGACATTAAACGAGGACGGACAGACGGACAGACATGGCGAAACTATAATGGTTCCTAGTTGACTACGGAACCCTAAAAAGTAACAATTCAAATGGTAAAAGATTACTAATAACAACACAATAATTAATTTAAATAACAATACATAATAATTAATTTCAATGAAAATACATTACAATCAATTGTACCTATAATACAATTTAAGAATAACATATTGTATATAATGTCACTTTTGCGAACTCACTCCGTGAACATGAAAATAGGGTAGGGAGGGGGAATGGCGTTCACTTAAGGAAAACATGGTGTATTTTTTAAATTATTTATTACAAATCAAAATGAAGAAAAGTAACAAAGTCTTTAATTATTGAGTAATCAACAATTTAACAACAAAAGCATGTATCTTTCACCTGCCAGTAGTAGGAAAACATTAGTAAAAAAACGTGTTTGAGCGGCATTGCCCCAGACTTTGGGTAATGCCGCTCAGGGTACGGGGTAATGACGCTCAAACATATTTTTTGGAATACAACATGTGAGATACATTTTAATTAAAGAAATATTAATGAGATCAACCTTATACAATAAAAGTGTAGTCTACAATCACAAATTAGCATCAATCATCCCCATTTGTACGTAAGATTAGCCTTTTTCAATTTAACAAATATAGTAAAGTCTTAGATGTCAAATCAACTTCAATTATTATAATGTAATATAAAATAATAATTATTATTAGAGGTAAGACAAATTAGAAATAGAAATATTTTATTTTTGGACACATAAATCACAGATGTATCCATCTGGCGAATCCCACCCTGAACATATAGCATGAGCCCACAGTCCGCAGATAGTGCAGCGATACCACAACTCGTTATTTTTTCCAAATTCTTCGCAAAAAATACATTTGTTATAATTTTCATCATCCACATTAATTTCGTCATTACTGTCATCGTCACAAAGGTGCTCTTCATCTTCACTCTCTGAAGAACTTTCTTGTAAAATTTTTCTCTTGTAAGATTTTTTGTTTCATATGTTTGTTCTTCTTTTCTTTAACAACTTGTTTTAGTCTTGATTTATCATCTTTTTCCAGTCTTATTGAGTTTCGCTATTTTTTTTCTTTTCTTTATCCTCTAAAATAATTTTCATAGGAGTCGCAGTTAATATGGTAGCATGTTGTTTTCGCTTTCTTTGACCTGGCTTAGAAGATGGTGCAATAGTTGGTGTCGTAGCTATAGCAGCAAAAGACATCAGAGTTCTTTGCTCATCAACAAGTTCTTGGTTACAAGCAACTGCCAAAACAGATTCAGAGCATTGATCCTTATTTGATGGTCCTGCCAAAGGAGATATATGTCCTGAAGTTATGGCCATACCATTAGACTGCGCATTTTCAAAATTCTTGACATTTGGGTCTTGATTTTCAGCGATTTGTACCGATTCTTGTGCCATCAGCGACGCTGCCAGAAAATCTTGATCAGTGAAAACATTTGGGTCCAATGGGTAAATTCCCGTGGCTCGAAATCCAGATTCTGCTTTACTTATATTCGCAACTTGTACATATGCTTTATTGAAAAGTTCTACAACATCGTAAGGAGTTATTTTAGACATTAAATGTGTCTTCATGTACCTGTTGCATTCATGCCTATAAGTGGCTTTCAGCGGCCCATAAAAAGACACATCCAGCGGCTGTGTTCTGTGAGAACTGTGTGGTGGAATGGAAAGCATTGTGATGTGGTTTTCTTTGCAAAAATTAAAAGCTTGAAGGGAAATGTGACTGCTGTGATTGTCCAGAATTAACAACAGGGGTGATTCATGGGTAGGCTTAGCAAATGCTGCGAAATGTTTGAGCCAAGTGACAAATAAATCTTCGTTTATCCAGCCATTTTTAGAGTTGGTGTATAATGCACCAGCTGGTCCATCTTTTTCTAATAAAGGCGTCATTCTCTGTCTGGCAAAAATAAACATAGGCGGTATAAAGTTTCCGGCTGCACTCATCGCACACATAACTGTTATGTTGCTTCCTCGTTCGCCGCTTGTAACAGATCCGACTCTTCTTTGTCCTTTTTCGGCGAGCACTTTTCCTGGGTCTGTCACCGTGGTGATACCAGTTTCGTCAGCATTGTAAATGTTGTTTGGAATAAACTTATGTTTTTCCATTAAGTCCCCAAGCTTATCATAGAAATGTGTTACTTCTTCTTTGTTGAAGCCAGAAATTCTATTTAAGCTTGTCGCTTCATCTTTGCGTATAGAAACTGAAGGATTGCGTCTCATAAAGGCGTGTACCCAATCCAATCCAGCTGTTTTGCTGCTTTGATCGAAATTGTTTTTAATATTGTTGAGCTCAGCATATTTATAAACAAGTTTACGCAAATCTGCGACATTGAGTCCATAGTATAGCGAACCCAGCATCTTAACTTGTTCAGCAATTTCAGATTCTTGCTGTTGGGTGAAAACAGGCTTGCGTCCTAGTCTTGGGTTGCTCATGTTTTCATTTTTTAGTCGATCTCTCAAAGTAGTAAATGGTATGTTATATTGTTTTGCGGCTTTTCTTTTGGACAAACCTCCTTCAATCGCAGTTTTAGCAGATTGAAGGTTTTCTTCTGTCCAAGCCGCTTTAGCGGTGGTCCTTTGACGATTTCTTGGCATATCTAAAACAATAAAAAAGAGAGCTGAGAGATGAGCGGTATAACCCCAAACGGTCGTTTTGTAATTAATTCGAAATTTAAAAAAAATCCTACACAATTGTTGAAAATTCATTGCATTATCACAAAATAGAATAGTTTTATTGTCAGAAAAGTAAAATTAATGATTAAATAAGCATTAAAGTTTTGGACTTACCGACAAAAAATACCTAACCAAAAATTAGATCAGCGCGGCCGTAAACGAAGAAACGCACTTCACGGTCGTATGACGCGAGCTGATTGTTCGTTTGTATCGCTGTCTGTTAGAGGCCCCCTCCCCCCGCGCTTCACGCGACGTGGCGTGTTGCTACGTTTCATTTTGACAGAGATATAGAGGTGAGCGCCATTACACAGTGAGCGCTATTCCCCCTCCCTACCCTAAGTCCAAATTCTCAGCTACCAAGTTTAGTATGTGTATCGTTCGCGTGAGGGGGGTATTGCGAACCAGTTTAGTCCTGCCGCGTGGCATCGCGAGCAAGCTCGGCTGCCGTCGCCGCTGTACATACCTATCAGGCACGCATAAGCCTATCCACTGCAGCACACCCGGGTTGCTGATGTAACCACGGAACACCCTTAAAATGTAGGTTACCAGCGCTAGATCTCTTCTAGTTTCCAACTTGTTGTATCCAACCGTACCTATAACAAACAGGGTTGGATACATCAAGGGGTAGGATGGATAAATCCCATAAAGCTTATGATATATAAATCGCGCGAATTTATGGAATAGTTGATATTGTTTCACATTCACTACACTGTTATTATTTTTTGTTTATCGCATAAATTATTTTTTTAACCAACTTCAAAAAGCAGGACCTACTCAATTTGACTGTATATTTTTTATGTTTTACTACAGAACTTTTTCTGGTTGAATCGAATTTTGTGATTCTTTTTATATTTGAAAATTGGTGTTTCTCGT